AGCAGTAACAATCTTTTATCACCACATCATTGTAATACTTTTTCAAATCACTAACAATTTGATTAGTGAATTTATCTTTATCAGAAATTTGTATTTCTCCTTGCTCAAGTATATCGTTTATTCCACCATCATCGCTCTTCTCGTTGTTTAGTGTTTCTTTATCTTCATATTCTACATTAATAACTACATTTTTTCCTTCAGATGACTTCCCTTTATCTTCATCTTTATCTGGATTTATTTTGTGTTTAATTTTTTCAATAATATCATCATCAAAATCAGTATTTTCAAGACTATTATTTTCTTCACTGTTATCATAATATATACTATGTAGATGTTCGGGTTTTTTATTCTTTCTATGTTTAGATTTTTTCTTTTTTATATCATCTATCCATGTATAATATATAGGGTATGGTGTTACTGTATAAAAATTATACATTTCTGTAGTAATAAAAAATGGTATATTTGGTTGTGTGTCTTTACTTCTTGTTATAGTTCTGGAGCAAAGATGGTCGGTGTTACTATGTGTTATATGTTCTTGAATAGGACCTGTACATTTATGATTGCATCTTGTATATGTATTTGTATTCATACATGTACATATTCTTCCATTCTCTAAATATTCTGATGTAATATCCGGTGATTCATTTAAACTACGAAGTTCAACAATTTTATTTCTAGAATTGTTATAACATATTTGTTTGTTGTCACTACCTTCTTTATTGATTTTATTAATTTTATTAGTTGTTTCATTTTGTGTACCATCTGTATGATAAGACTCATTTAATGTATTAGATAGAAAATTCATGACTGACCATTTTTGTTTAACCTCAAGTGTAGGCGTCGGAGCATTATTCGCTGTAGAAATGTATACAGAAGGAATTTGGTTTATGTCTTTTCTATGCAAATTCTGTTGTATAATTAACATTTCGTCTGACAGCATTTTATCGAAAATGTTAGATTTTAAATTGTAAGTTTTGTTGCTTCTTTTTGAATTTCGAAAATATTCTTGATAACTTACAGTTTGGGCAGTATGGTCAGACGTGTCTGAAATACAATCTTACCAATGTTATAAATGCAAATGTTTAGATGGAGGGATCTATGTTTGTTTGAAGATATCTCCGGAACGGCTCTACAGATTTTAAAGAAATTTGGCACACGTGTAGTTCATAATCAGGAAAACACATTGACTACTTATTTAATTAATAGAGGTAGTCGTGGGCGAAAGCTAGTATAAATATAAATGTTTACAAATTATTACCGCTTTGTCGATTTGATGATTCAACTTTCTTTGTATTAAATACCCAATTAGTTACATCACTGTTTTGTATTATTGCGCAATTTATATCCAACATATATGAATTCATTGTAACTAAAATGTAAAACATAAAAAACATAACAGAGGTAAATAAAATCCATTATAACTGACGACTGACATGAAGCATTTAATATTCAGTTTCATGAATCTCGTAGGCTTTACCGGCTTCATTATATTTTAAATGTGTCAACAATTTTATTATATACCGCATTTTACTATGCTAAAAGACAAATTAGTTGTAATATTATTTTACGTTTATTTTGTAAGTGGTTTCTCTAACGATTACTGTGAGATATGTGCTAATCATACACTTTGTTTATTTCCAGTAAGTAATCTAAGTATTTTAATGATGTTTAGTTTTTACATTTATTAATAAACTAATTTTCGCACGCGTCTCCATCCGGGCGGAATTGAAAAACGAAATTAGTAGCCTATGTGTTCTTTCAGACTATGTTCTATATGTATGCCAAATTTCATCAAGATCCATTAAGACGTTCTGGAGATACATTCAAACAAACATCCATCTAAACATTTCCATTTATAATATTAGTAAGATATTTAATTAATTATGTTTTTACTAGAAAGCAGGACCAAGTATATCATGTATAAAATACGATGAAAAGAGTAAACTAACAAATGAAGATACCAAATCGATTGTGGATAGAATTAATTCGAGGAGAAATTTCATTGCATTAGGTCGATCAAAGAAACTACCAGGTGCTGGAAATATGAGAAAAATTGTAAGAAACATAATAATTATAATTAATAAACAATAGGGCGCGATACAAAAGGCAGTTATCCTAGAAAGCGCACGCATCGTGAGAAGGTACCTGTATCTGCAGCCCTGACCACTGGTTGTTTGAGTCATGGGACTCCGCAGCCGGTGGTGCTCTATGTTTTATTTTTTAATCAACAATAGATGTGGTGCAACACAAAACAATCTAATTAATTTTCCTTCCTGAATCAATCGTACTTTTACTTCTTTCTATACTACCAGTTTCATTCTTTATTTATTAATCCTATAATTAATAACAAAAATGAGATACAATTTATTTTTCTAATTTAATTGAATTTCGTGGTTGAAATAAATCATAATTTATTAACCTATTTCTTTGAAGTAAACAGAATTTATAATAAGTAATCGTTTAAAGGTTTGGTCGGATGAATTAGCAATTTTCGCACAGCGGTGGGCCGACCAGTGTGATCTATCACGACCGCATAAAGAAGACTATTGTCGCAATCTAGGTAAGACGAATTCATCAATTTCTTTCCACAAACAATCTACAATGTAATTAGGTCGGCTGCTAATTTACTTACATCTTCCTTTCGATGTAACGCCAAAATTAGTAAACAGAGGAATATTAAATGTTTGGCGGCCATTAGGATATTTCACCTTTTCAGTTAATTTGTGAAAATTTTAAGATAAGGTTAAGCAAAATTGTAAAATATGGATAGCTAATGATATTATAGTTACCAGGATAATATTTTCTACCAGATGTTTTGGAATTACCCATTTTAAGTGTAAAGTGTGTCTATCAACGAAGCCTATAAAGTTTGAACTATCAATTCTTCGTATTAGGTTTGAAAAAAGAATATTTTTAAAACATATATTAGGTCAACTGAATAAATACAGTAAAACCTTTTTTTAAACTTTTTTTTCACAGAAAATATTGAAGTTGGCCAGAACATAGCCACGATGTTTGACTTGTCTTCAAACTTTAATATTGCGAATTTTATAGAAATATGGTTTATGCAATCAGTGGACTACAGATCAAGCATCACATATTACAATGAGTATAAATATTACATATATGTATATTTTTATTATATAGTAATTAACTTCATGCTTGGCAGGTTAAAAAAAACTTATAAAAAAAAGTTTTAATACCGCAAGACTTAAATAAAAATAACCTTTTTACGTATGAATATAAGCTTTCAAAGGGCTTACTTTGTTTAAATTAGCATAGAAATAATTACAAACTGTGTAAAGTAAAATTATATTATACTAAAGGAGCGTCGGTGGCTCAGGGGTTAAGAACTTGACTTGTAATCTGTCGGTCTTGGGTTAAAATCCCGCCATGTACCAATGTGTTTTAGATTTAAATATGTACATTTATCCAACGATCTTACGATGAAGGAAACATGGTGTTGCAAACCGGACATATCTACGAAGAAATTCAAAGATGTGTGTGAAGTCAACCCGCATTGGACCAGCATGGTTAACGATGGCCTAGTCATCCCTAAGTTAGGGTAGGCTCAGAGTCCCTCAGTAGGGACGTAGTAGTATGTGAGCTTATGATGATAAGAGATTTTTTAACGAGTTTCTGATCTACACAGGACTGACAACAGAACAAGCTATTTTACTCAATTAATTTGGGCAAACACCGATACCGTTGGATGCGGGCAGGCAAGCTTCTATGTAAATAAATTTACTATTAATATACTAAGTTTAAATTTTACAAAGATAAATTAATTTTAAAACTTTTTAGTTAGAAAATGTACGAGTACAAAGGCTCGTATGCAACTTTGCTCCCAAAGGTAATGTTAAAGGAAAGCCAGTCTACTTAATTGGATACCCAGCTACCCAATGTCCTGATAACATGGTACCAGATTTCAAATATAAAGGACTATGTAATAAAATACAGCTTGAAGGTAATAATTGCTACACTAATAGCCTAATAGTTTAAGGTTACCGGTTTCTAAAACCAACAGAATCTTTCTGATTGTGATGTCGGTGCGTTAATTCGTTGTCGACGCGCGAATGCCTCGTGGTTGCTACGGCGAAGCGGTGGATATTGAGAACGAAAACTATTGTATTACTATAAATCGTGTTTCAAATCTACCATGCTAATATTTTTTATGCTTAGTGTCCTATTTCCCCGTAGTCAAGCAGGCGTCCACAGTGCGACACTATAATTATTAATATTGATTTTATTCTATTTTAGATGATAAGCAAACATCACGAACTCCTGGTGGAGTTAGAAGTTTACTAAGGATCATTAATTTGTCAAATAACACCGATTTATTCCGAAATAATAAGATTACAAACAAAATAAAAAGTCGGAAGCTAACTACGATATCTATGAACAACACTCACGGTACGTAATTGAGGAGTAAAAGATTAGCGTGGTTTGGACATGTTATGAGGAGGGATGATGATGATATAAGCAAAAAAGTAATGAGATTGAATGTGGATGGCTACAAGGGTAGGGGAAGACCAAAAAAAGTATGGAATGACTGTGTGAAAGAGGATATGCGTAAGAAGGGGGTAGACTCGGATATGACGGCTGATAGAGATGTATGGAGGAGTAGTACATACTGTGCCGACCCTCGATAGGGATAAGGGCAGATTGATGATGAACACTCACGGTACGTAATTAAGAATAATAAACTTGAAATTAATAAGAATAGTATTATAATTTCAAATAAAAAAAAATCTTATAATATATATTTTAGCCGCTGTAAAACGATATCCTCAACACAACTTTTGGGAAAAACCAATAAATCAATCTAAAGTTAGAGATCACAACAATCATCAACTTGAAAATCCCTGGCGAGTCTTCCACGGACTCGACGCACCCAATAACTTAAATATGATGAATAAGAAAATCGAATCTGGACCACAAAAATTCGACTCTATATATTCTTTAACCCCATTCAACAAACAGGACTCTTTAAAACTTAAACAAGAGCCATCTTGCACTAGAAAAACTAATTTACCTTTTACTAAAGACCCTTTACGAAGTAATTGTGATTACGAAAAAATAGCTGAATGCACAAGGGGTTATAAAAATCAACATTGGACTCAAACAAATCAAAATATACAAGCGACTTCGCCATTCCTTTATTCAATATGCTCATGCGACTCGTATACTACAACCACTCAAAGAACCACATCCTGGATCGGTTATTGTCAATGCTTAAAAAACAACCCGCAAATAATTTGTTCAAATTCTCGTAGAACACAAGATGAATTCACAAATGTGGTTAGTAAAAACTCTGGTACGTTCCAACACTACGATTTATTACCTAACTTACATTTACGCGAACGAATTGGACGAGAAAACGTACCGAATAAACTTTCAACACACGTACCAGCGAAGGAAAGACTTGATTTAGTAAATATTAACAAAAGAAAAGAAAATAATCCTTTTTACAGGCAGGTAATAAAACATATTCTCGATATTTTCATACTAATTCTAATAATTCTCATTGTTTCAACTTGGAATTTCAGGCAAAGACATAAAAGAAATGACCCCAGATATACAACCTTAATGCCTTTTTGGCAAATGGATGATACTATGCAGAAAAAAACATCACAATTTAAAACAGCTGTTCGATATACGACATTATCAAGTAAACAATTGAAACACACGAAAGTGAAAACAGGACTAACCAGTATTGAACCAATAACTCTAATGACAGTAACAACTAATCTAAACAGAGAATTGCCTTCGATAACAGAAAAATATTTATCATTTGATGAGCTAATGCAACTCCGTAACAAAGGTGTGGATGCGAGACGTCAAGGTATTATAACTAAAGAATCAACTATAGCCGCTACCACAAAAGAAATAACAGCGAATACGCCTTTTGTACGTATGAAACATTGTACACGCAAGCTAACTTGCACCTGGACAATCACACAAATGACAGACTGTAACGGCAGTGTTATTATTGACAACGATCCCAATAACCGAGGTTCACGAACTCCTCCAGGTTATGTTGATGGTTGTACACGTACATCAACATGTACTCGTGATTATATGGATAGAAACAAACTAGTCGCAAGTACTGAAGAAACGGATGATACTGTTACGACAACAGAAATAGACGACGACTATTGTGAACGTCGATCCCTTGACGTCCGTCGTAAAAATTCTCGAGGACAAGCAATTTATAATAACAAAAATATAGATAAATTAGAATTATTAGATGATTCTTCTAAAAAGAAATTGCTTACCACTACTTTATTAAATAGAGAGGAAAGAAAAGACAAAGACATCAGTGATTGTTTCTGCTATAATTTGTCTGGAAGAGCTAAAAGAGATGATACTAGAAACAAAAATTACCCATTGATCTATAAAAGAATTATGAGAAAGAGTGGAAGAAATCATAACGAAAACTTATATTACGGTGACCTATATTATAAGGTTTTGAGTAAAATCAAACAAACGTGGGAGAAAAATAAAAAAGGAAACCTACTTGGAAAATGTTTATGCAATGGAAACCGGAGAGATAATTATTATTCTTTAGAGCTTTTAATACTATCTTGTAGTATAATTTTTACATAAAAATCGTTCTTCATTTATTTATTTATTATGTATTGTTTATTATTCAAACGAAATAAAAATATAAATCAAATTATCGTTGTACTTTCCTTTATAATGTACCAGAAATAGAATGTTGACTAATAATTAAATAAAACTTGCAATAAAAGTGACAACATTTTTGAACATTGGGCTTTTATTATTTATTATCTTCTCATAAAATTAAATTTAAAACAATAAAATACCATGTGACAAAAAATGAGTTATTTTTGGCCGAATTAGAAATTGCTCCGGTACAATGAAATCGCTCATTTAGTTTTAGGGCACCTAAATCTGATGCAAGTTTTCTTAAAAATTCCTCGTAATTAATTACATGAACAACTTCATCACTATTTTGTGCTTTGTGACTTTTTCTTTTCCGTTTTTTGTCACTTATTGTAAACTTCATATCTATTTGTCCCTTTAGTGGTGATCGTTTACGTCTCTTCCAAGGTAGCTTTGTTAGAGTAATTTTGAAATTTTCTGATAAAATCTTCTCACTTTCTGTGGATAGTATTACTATATTTTAGTTTTCTATTTATTTGTGACAGTCTGTGGTATTAATTAATGAACTTATTTACCATTTTCATCGGAATTTAATATTGTAGATGACGGAAAATCAGAATTAGTTACATTATCTGTATCGAAATCGGAATCAATAATTTCATCCAAAAAGTCTTTAGTTCCTTGACCTCGTTTTAATTCCTGTATTTCCAATACAATATCAGAAACAGCTGGACTAGTATTATCGTAATACGATTCTGTTGTTTCATTGGTATTCTGCTCATTGTCGTCTTCAGGAAAGAAATAATGTCCAGTTGAATGTAAATTGGTCAAAACTTCTCCATATTCAGCTTTAATTTTTATAGCACTAACATCTGACAGTGAATTAGTAGTATCTTCTACAGCATCTATTGTGGATGAGTTATCTGCAAATGATCTTACTAATATTATAAATGCGAATGTTAAGATGAATGGATGGATATTTTTTTGAAATGTCCCCAGAACGGCTGAACGGATCTCGATGAAATTTGGCATACATTTAGAACATAGTCTGGAAGAACACCTAAGCTACTAATTATGTTTTATTTTTTAATATGTGCGGACGGAGCCGTGAGCGACAGCTAGTGTTCTCATAACAAAAACATACTACATTACAATCTGCAAATATCATTATTTCTTTCGTACCGTTATTTCTAAAAATCACTGCCTCGACTAAATTTGCAAGTAAAGTCGAGTTAAAATAATCCGGTTCAGTAGGTTTAGGTGTCGTTGATGTTGTTTTAGTGCTATGAATATGATTTATAATATCAGCTACAGTGGCATCTTTGTAGCCATTTTCAAGATTTTCCTTCCCTTCCAATACTTTTGATGCCAATAAATATTGTTTCAACATTTGATCTTTTATCAAACGCTTCTTAAATATTTCAATAAAATCATCAACTGGTATCACATCTTTGCATGTTTTTAAATGACTTGTCGCTTTTTCAGTAGAACTAGTAAAGCGTAACATGTGAGCAAAATAATCAAATCCTGTTACGTTTTCTTCACCTTGTTCTGACCCAAAAGTTTCAAGAACAGCGTTAGAATATTTGTCTGTAATTATTGGCTGTTCATTGTTAGTTATATTTCCTCTTGTATTAATTGTAACATTATTATAATTGCTACTAAAAACTTCTTTATCACTGTTGTTTATATTTCCATTGGTATTTTCTTGAAATTCAGCATCTAGGAAACGAAAGAAACAGTTACGTACAGATTACATACCTCTGGGATTTTATCTGATAAAGTGAAGGGTATTTAGCTGATCCCACCACCTTGTGGAATGCAAACAAGGCAGAGAGGTGTGAAGAGAGAGAGACAGAGTGAGGGGGGGGGAGTGAGAGGGGGGGAGAGGGGAGAGAGAGAGGGAGAGAGAGAGGGAGAGAGAGAGAGGGAGAGAGAGAGGGAGAGAGAGGGGGGGAGAGGGAGAGAGAGATAGAGATAGAGAGAAAGTTAATTTTTATCTTGGGCTTTTTTAATGTTAGTATTGCTAATGTTAAAAAGATAGATAAATGAGACGTTAGGTTAGCTCAATATAGGAAAATAAATCAACTGAGACGACGTTTGATGGAAAAAGGTAGAAGTGCAAAAGGTGTTTGACTTTCAATAAAAGTAGCATCGTAAGTGTACAATAAAATATTAGTAGGCGCCCATCGCCGCATATATGGAATTGGAGGTCGCATTGTAACTATTTGTATAGACTATATTATAGGATTATTAAAAGACTTACTGCACAAAAACCTATATTTCATGTCGCAGGAACCGCCAAAAGGACAATGAGAACAAGGATAACCTTCGTGATAAACCGATTGCCCAATTTGATTACCAGTTGGCGAGAAATTACAAACCAATCTGTTGATAGTTCTGTTCCTTCTGTCATTGGTTAAATCCTTTGAAAAGTATTATTTTTTAAGTTCTTTTGTTTTATCTATTCTAATAAATTTTCTTATACCAATCTTAATAATATAAATGTCAATGTTTGGATGGATAGAGGATGTTAGTTTGAACATATTCTGGAAGAACAGATAGCCTACTAATTATGTTTTTTTTTAATTCCGCGCCGACTACAGGTGGTACATTTATAAAGATCTATTTGATGATTACTTTATAATAAATAATTTCATTCATATTAAAAGTATAGGTAATGAAGATGTTATTTGAATTGTTCGAGATATTGCGACTATATCGATATACCTATATTTCTTTTTTATTATAAAAAATTAAACACCTTTACATAATAATTCTGGTAGGTACCAGTGTCTGTACTAAAGCAACATTTATTATCTCAAACGGACAGCATTTTACATCGAAGGTAAACACAATATTTGGATAATTGTGTTATACATTACGTGCTTTATCTACAACTCTTTACTTAAATAAACTGAAATATATTTCCGCTTTATTTTAACTCAAATAGTTACTAAATAACGTAATATAAAACTTACTAATATTATTAACGCGAATGTCTGAATGATGATGTTTGTTTGAAGGTATCTCCGGAACGGCTGATGGTCTTGCTGCAATCTGGCATAGATGTATAAAATAGTCCGGAAGAACACATGGGCTACTAATTAATTATTTTTTAATTCAACGCAGACGGAGTCACGGGCGACAGCTAGTGTAACATATAAAGTCATCTTGATATTAAAAAATCTAAAAGTAAAACTATAAGCTCACCTTAAATTTAACTCCACCGCATCCTACTTGATAGGATTCTGCCCAAGCTAGTTGTGTGAAGTAGTCGTAATGATGCTGACGGGTTTGATTAGATCTAAAACAATACACTAGGTACAGTACATAATACTTCATGGAAAATGACTATTATATATTGCCGCCGCCTTCACAATAATTAATAGAAAGTTGAGGATAACTTTAGTGTATATTTCTCATACTAAATTTATACTAAAGGGGGGTTAACTAATATGAGTTAAGTGATAATATAAAAATGTAACGTACTGCCGATATCGTGATATTAATGAAGAATTCATGTTCAAAAGTTCCATATACCACACGTCCACTAATATCGCTGGAGTCAGACCGGGCGAGTCGCCGACCACTGTGGCAATATTTTGACCGATTTTAACGCCATCTGTATTGTAAAAGTGCACTTTTATCCGAGTTTCTCAGAAATTATAGTTTTTTAATTCCTTTAATTATATTTATTAAAATATTTCTTGCAATAAGTGTTTATACTTCTTACTATATTCTTATAAAAATATATTTATCTAACGTATTATAATAGAAGAGCTCCATCAATCATCATACGTTGGCTTTTCCATTGTAGGCCATCAAACAATTCTTACTTATTAACTTCCCGGAAGAAAAAAGTAATTATTAATATTCTCAGGCCATTACTATGTAATATGACGAAGTATAACTTTGCGAATGCGAAATAAAATTACCCGAATCTCCACAGTATTTATAGTCCAACTCTTTAAATGGCAAACAACGGTCTGCCCATTTTTGCGCAGAATTTTGTAAACTATCACTCCATACCTGAAAATAAAATAGTAATAAAATGTTTATATTTACGATTTTCAAACTACAGGTTCCAGAGATAGATTACAGTTATCTATAATTTTAATAAGACAAGAGTTCAAGAACAGAATCACCATCTGCCCTTATCCCTATTGAGGGTCGGCACAGTATGTACTACTCCTCCATAACTCTCTATCAGAAGATTTATATAAAATTATAGCTGGTGAAAATTATACGATTCGTTAAGTTTTTTGTCGAAGAAGTCATCCAATTCGGATTTACAAAGTTCTAAGAAAGTGAATCCATAACTTCATTATGCATATACTAACCATTTTCATCATGTTTTCAGCAGAAGGTAAAGAACGTATATCGCCCGATGCCACTTTATCCCGTCTACTATTTATTTTGTCCAGAATATCTTGTTTATCTTTGCTTGTTATAACGGTTTTTTCATAATCGATGCAACGGTTTACTGGATCATTAGTCTGAAGTAATAAAACAATTTTTGCCTTGTAAATCTACCCACAACATTGATATGGTGTTGATTACTTTGTGGTATTCTATGGGTACTTGAAATAAAATAATACTCGCCTCAAATTTACATAGCGAAATATGTGAATCATCACAACTGTTAAAGTTGCAATAACATTCAACATTATTGTAGAAGAAAATATGAAAAATGACTAATATGCTTAAATACTGAATATTTTCCATAAATATATAAAGCGTTTTTATAAATGGTGTATAAATTCGCTGAAAAAGAAAGATCAACCCAGATGGTAAATCTAGATGGTTAAAAAAATTTCGTTGAAAAATGTAACAAACTTTAAAATATGTTTACATCGTATGTTGCTTTTTCCTTTAGTTAGTAATTTCTTACATTCGAATAAGTAATTAATGTATTATAAAAATTATGTCGCACTATAAAAAATATTTTCAAAGTAGCGGAAGACCTTGTTGCCTTTGTCTCTCTTCTGTTATTACAATGACATTGACAACATTGTTTAGAAAATAAACATAACATAACCTCAATTATCTAACTTCGATGTAGGGATAAGGTTAACCTTCATTTAACCCTATTAAATACTACAGCAATCTTATTATCAATAGTGTATTTTAATTTGGCCTACATACAACATGAGTCGTTCATTAAAAGCTCTTATAGGGCCATCCATTCTTAACTCAGACTTATCTAAATTATTTGAAGAATCTCAAAAACTGATTGATAATGGTGCGGATTACTTGCATTTAGATGTGATGGATGGACACTTTGTTCCTAACTTAACTTTTGGCCATCCAATTGTAAAATGCTTGCGGAATCACATTAAAGATGCTTTTTTTGAAACCCATATGATGGTGTCCAGACCTGAACAGGTAATTGTGTTGTATTAATTGATATATGATTAAGTTATCCTCTTGTTAAAAAAATAATTAAATTATAGAATAATACCGTCATCAGGAAGGGATCAAAAAGAGCAAAAACCAATGGGAATAAAAATCTTTTACTCTATATTAATACCTTCTTCTCAACTAAGTGATAATTGTCACATTCATAAAGGTCTCTGCTTAATGTATATTTATAGATACTATATAGAATTTAACATCATTTTTGCAGTGGATTGCACCTATGGCTGATGCAGGTGTGAACCAGTATACATTCCACATTGAACCAATAACAAATGTTGAAGAGATTTGTAGAAAAATAAAGGAACATGGAATGAAGGTAACAGTGCATTTATGTATGATATAATTAATTAATTACATCTTATTGACACAATTAGTGTGTCAAAATGGAAATAAATTTCATCTTGAAACCTCCATGCTTTCCTGAGAAAAAAGGTCTTCATAGACAGACAGACAGATGGAGAAAGTGAACCTATAATGGTTCCATATTTTTTCTTTCGAGTTACGGAGCCCTAAAATTGGGGTGTTTAGCCATTGAAAGTTTTTTCCACCATGAAATAAATTAATGTCATGTCAATATAAATTCCCTGTGTGAAGCCCTCCTGCACCCATTGATGAAGAAAAATAAAATACTTATATTTCACATAAACAAATAATTTTGTAAATTTTACAGGCAGGAGTTGCTATCAAGCCAGGCACACCTGTGGAGGAGGTGGAGGAATATATTTCTGTTGCAGATATGGTGCTCATTATGACAGTGGAGCCTGGGTTTGGAGGTCAAAAGTTCATGGAGGACCAAATGGCAAAAGTCCAGTACCTCAGAAAACATTACCCCCTACTAAATATTGAAGTAGATGGTGGTGTGGGACCTTCTACAATAGATTGTTGTGCTGATGTAAGTTACTGTTTCCAATTCATAATTTATTATTCACTAGTTGTCACCTGCAACTCTGTCCATGCGGGATTTAAAAAAAACCATGATTAGTACACTGTGTGTTCTTCCAGACAATGTTCTATATGTATGCCAAATTTCTTCCAAATCCTTTCAGCCATTCTGGATATACCTTCAAACATGCATTCATCCATTAAAACATTCTTATTTATAATATTAGTAAGATATTATTTGTTTCATGTATTCTCTTGATAGAAATACATTTTTTTTCCATTGCTACATAATATCTGATCTGATATTTATAATGTATAAATAATGGTGTTATATAAATTTATATTTCCAGGCTGGAGCAAATATGATTGTATCGGGGACAGCTGTTACCGGGTCAAAAGATCAAATGGCAACAATCAAGTTACTCAGAGATACTGTACAAACAGCTATTGATAAAGTTAAAAATACTGAATAATGGTGTAAGACATAATTGGTATAGGTTGCACAAAAGTTAACTATTAAATAAATTTTATATAGGGTGTAAGAATAAACTTTGTTACAACTTTAAATGGGTCCAATGGTCTTCCATTCCTATTTTTGTACAACTTATATTAAATAAAGTATAGTTATTTTTTTACAATTTATCTTTTAATCAAATTTGCTTAAATCTACATTATTTTCGATACCCGAATTATCTGAAATGTCTTGTTTTTGCTGTGGGAATATTGAACTTGTTGCTATACCAGTATCTTTAAAAACCATAGGTTCATTTTCCGCTTTTAACTTGCTTCGCAAACTAGAAAGAGCTACGAGTACTGCTTCTTCAGTCCTGATAGTTCTTGATCCTTGATTGGGTAAAACATTTATGTAATAATTGAATAATAAACTGGCATCATCCACTTTAAGTTGTTCATCACTTTCTAATGCAGCTTCAATGCCTTGTAAACCTCCAAATACTATCAATGCATGGTTGTATTTAACACCTTTATCAGGTATATCATTGATGGGAGTACCTCTGTCTGAAGTTCCAATAGTTAAATCATATCTGAAAAACAACAAGTGTCAGGTCTTACATTCTTAAAGACAATGAGGTAATACCTACCAGATAAATATCTGTAACATTATGGTCAAGTATTAAAGTCAAATTTAGGTGTATATTAAAATTAAAAATATGTTCTTACCCATCCTTATATGGAGATTGTGTAAAGATTTGACTTAAATTAGTTGCAATCCTTACAGTGTAGCCCCAATAAACACCAGTCTCAGCTCTTGGGGTTGCTAGGCTCACTATTTTACCCTTTAGCTTCTTACTGCCTTCTACTGCAGGTAGCATTTTAACAGTAACCCTAATGCCAGGGTTTAATAATTTGTCAGAAGATACATCTTGTAACAATCCAACATTAACTTGTGAACCTCTACCTGGTTTTACTTTTTTGTTCATTGTTATCCCTTCCCTGTAAATAAAAATGTGCCTCTATAAATCTTTACTAAAATAAGACAGTCTGACATAATTGTAAACATCTTTTTTTACTTGTGCTTTAACACATTTCATACCTGAATTTAAAGTCATTGGACATTCGTAAGTGATGTGGAGCATCTAAAGGATTTAATAATCCTGCAAATTCCAAATCTTTGTGTATAGGAAAAAAGTGTTTCCTAAGATACTGGGGGCATTCCAAATATTGAAGAATACGAGCTAACTGCACGCAACTTTTTCGAGCTATTTTTAATCCTTCAGCATCTTCCAATTTAGATTTTTTAGTATTAAGTTTATCTCCAATATCATCATAGACAATGACTTCATCAACACAAAATATGCAAGCGGCTCGAGCAATTTGCCCCGCCAAATATGTTCGTAGTTCCGCTGATTGTGCATTTTCCAAAATTGAACCTGGAATAGCTATGCTAATTGTTGATATTTCAGCATTTTTCTTTTCTATCTCTGCTTCTTCTTTCACTTTCACTTCTATTTCTTTTTCTAAAGCTAACCTCTTCTCGCGCTTTATTATTTTTTCTTCATTTCTTTGACGTTTTAATGCTTTTCGTTCCTGATTAATTTCTCTCCAGCTCTTTCCTGGCGGTTTTGTAGGTACCACTGGAAGAGACATATTTTTAAACTATTAGTTCAAATTGTTGGAATCAAAACATTTCATTTTCATGAATATCCATGTGACTTTAAGTGACATCAGATTTTGACAGTTGACACTGACAACTAACGATAGCAATTAAACAAAGAGAAATAGCCTTTGAAAGGAACAGAGTCATGAAAGTTATCCCTATTATTTATTATCTATAATTTGACATTGAAGTTTGTTTGACTGATAAGTGACAAGTCTTGTTTGTTTTGTTTTTAATTTCTGATGCGGTTATTATTAAGTTTCTTATAAATAAAGTAGAAGAATCAAACATACAACAAAAAGTAAGTAATTAAAATATTAGAACAAACCACCTCAACAATTGAGGTTCGTTATATTCAAAGTTATTCACTTAAGTGTATTTAATTTGTTTGTAAAAACATAACTATCATTCCTAACCTCTGTGAAACCTGTGTAATGCCATGAGGTTCTATAAAAACGGTTGCGAAACTAAACATTAATGTATGAAAGTTTTTTTTAAGTCATTGAATTAAGTAATACAAAATAGTAAAAATAGTAGCATTCTATATATCCCAGAATAAAAGATCCTACGACATAAGCGACCAGTAGTCAGGGCTACAGATTGTTACGAGCGTGGGGTCCGGGATAGAGTTTAACACTTGATAATTCTTCGATTTATTGAGAACTTACAGAAACAGGGATTCACTGCAGAACATGAGGGCAGTACCTAAAATCACATTCTTTTGTATTCAACCCTTTATCCATCTGTTCACCTATATATCTTCATAAAATTTGATTGATGGTGGGTAGTAACAAACTAAAACAGTTTCATCTGTTAGAGGAAAGATTGTAATCCTTTTTGTCTGGTTGACTTAACAATTTCATCATATTTCTGAGTTGTATTTGTGTTTCAACCAAAATTATCAAACATGTTTACTAGTTTTATTTAATCTTGAATATTGTTTATTAGATGAACTCTTTGCAATTGTATCATTATTTTCATCATATCAACAAATATAATAGGGTTGTCACATATTAAAGGAAAATATATATTGTTACATTACCTGACACTGTCCAATATATTATAATATTTTATAGAATTAATAAATTAATTAGGAATGACTAGACTCATTGATCCTTTGGTGATGACACCAGCTTTATTTACCTTTACGGCCTTTATGGTGAGTGTTATTAGTGTATATAGATAGTGTAATTAGATAAGATGTGGTAGGAAAGGTGGTATTTCAGCTATATTTGTGTTTTTAGAGGATTTCTCTATTTTGGAAATCAACACTGTCAGTAAAAATACTATTTTGGTCAGTAGCACATATAAATGTTAATCTAAATAATTTAAACAAAATTTTATGGATCTTCTGGTTTGATTTTACGATGTTGACTTTGATACAAATAATGTCATTAATGTTATAATTTAGTAACAACTGTATTGACAGCCCTGAAAAATTGAGAACAAACAAAATTATCTGTTATCAGGACCCCTGTTGAAGAGGTCAAGTTACTGTAATACTTGCTAGAGGCACAACGTCAGTGTGTTATCAAACATTGAAACGAAGAACATGGCAGCAAATGGAAAATTAGGTAATTTTTTTTTTAGTAAAATAATTTTGGTTTGCATTATGAAAAAGTGTTATGATGCTTTGACTTAGTTCATTATTATGTTATCCCCTTATACTGATGAATTTATTTATAAAGGCATATTCAAAAAACAGTGTACATCTTAAAAGAAAAAATAATTAGAATTTTCTACTTGCTAGCAATAAATTAAATTGATTTTCAAATAGAAAATATTTGATGTTATTTAACTATAGATGTTCCTGAATTAATTTTGACCAGTCAACCAGAGAGATCGGTTCTAGGCTTATTTGTCAAATATTAATCATTTTTTTTATTATGAGCTGTAGCACAATCACAACGCACTAGTTTAATAGGTACAGTTACACTATCAAATAATTTATTGATTAAATTAATTATTTTTTACAGCTCTTCTCAGCGTATCTGATAAGGCGGGGCTATTGCCTTTAGCGAAATGCTTATCAGACATTGGCCTGGGGTTAGTGGGCAGCGGAGGGACCGCGACCGCGCTTCGTAATGCCGGTCTCAAAGTACTGGATGTATCAGACATCACCGGGGCACCAGAAATGCTCGGTGGTAGAGTTAAATCATTGCATCCAGCTGTACATGCTGGTATACTATCTAGGTACAATTCTTTTTTGTTACAACATTAACCGTGACCCGTTCGCGTGGAATTAAAAAAAAATAAACTTACATATACCTTGGGTTTCACTACAGAAACAACCATAAAAAATCACTCATTTACCTTAAATTCACTGAGATGACATACATTTGTACAATTGTTTAAATATTCTAAATATAAAACATTTTAAAAAAATCCACCAGGTTGACGGATTCCGACCAGGCTGACATGAAACGTCAGAAGTTCGATATGATCAGTGTAGTCGTTTGCAACTTGTATCCATTCGTGGAAACGGTCGCTAAACCTGACGTGACAGTTGCTGATGCTGTGGAGAACATAGATATTGGTGGTGTGACTTTACTCCGTGCTGCAGCTAAGAACCATGATAGAGTTACTGTTATCTGTGATCCTAAGGACTATGAATCAATCATTAATGAACTAAAGAACACTAAAGATCATCAGACATCACTTGAAACAAGGTTTGTAACGAAAGCCAATGGCCTTAGTTTAGTACATTTCAAGATAAAATACTTATATGAATTATTTTCAGGCAAAGGTTAGCTTTGAAAGCCTTCACTCATACATCAGAGTATGACTTGGCTATCTCTGACTACTTCCGTAAGCAGTTCTCAGCGGGACAGTCCCAGCTCACATTAAGATATGGTACGTAATTTATAGAATTTCATTCATCAACACAAATTCATACATCATCATCATCAGCTCACTATACGTCCCCACCGAGGGGCTCAAAACCTACCCTAAGTTAGGGATGATTAGACCATAGTCAACCACACTGACCAAGTGCGGGTTGCTCTTCACACACGTCTTTGAATTTCTTTTAAGATATTTGCAGGTGTCTCACGATGTTTTCCTTCGTCGTAAGAACGTCGGTTAAATGTACATATGTAAATCAGAATTCGAAAAACACATTGGTACATGGCGGGTCTTCCCTGCCGAAGGCGACATCTTTGGAGGATTTTTTTCTGACACCAAAAACTATAACAAAGAGGTTTGTAAAAAGAATTACCAACAACATCATAATTTCAGGTATGAATCCCCACCAAAAGCCGGCTCAGTTGTTTACGACATTGGACAAACTGCCTTTAACCGTTCTGAATGGTTCTCCGGGCTTTATCAATCTGTGTGATGCTCTTAATGCTTGGCAACTGGTGAAAGAACTGAAAGAGGCTCTAGGTCTACCAGCTGCAGCCAGCTTCAAGCATGTCTCTCCTGCGGGAGCGGCTGTCGGTCTACCATTGACTGAGGAAGAGGTAAGATTTTATTGAGGTTAAACTCTAGAACTTGTCGAAAAGTATGATGAATGAATCATCTTTAGGACTGATCCGATGTTTAATCATCATCATCATCATCATCAGCTCACTATACGTCCCCACCGAGGGGCTCGGAGCCTACCCTAAGTTAAGGGTGATTAGGCCAAAGTCAACCACGCTGGCCAAGTGCGGGTTGGTTGACTTCACACATATCTTTGAATTTCTTCTCAGATATGTGCAGGTTGCATCACGATGTTTTCCTCCACCGTAAGAACGTCGGATAAATGTACATATGTAAATCGGAAATCGAAAAACACATTGGTACATGGCGGGATTTGAACCCAGGACCTGCAGATTGCAAGTCAAGTGCTTGACCACTGAGCCACCGATGTTTAATGACCGGCTTTAAATATAAAAATTTCTGTTTGTAATCGTAAAACATATTGTTTGACTTGTTAAAAGAAGAGGGAATAGATAATTTTATATTATACTAATTTTCTAATTTATATCACTTATATCGGTGAGAGGGGTGACAAAATACGTAAGATAATAATCGTCGGTTTCTGAGGCCAAAATATCTGTATAAAACATAATTCCTGTCATTATCTTAAATAAAACAGAGATAACAATATGTTTTAAACAAATTGGCTTTAGAAACCCACGGTAAGTGTTATAAGGAGAGGGATATTATGTTTTATTATGATTAACAAGTAATTATATAAAAAAACCAGGCGGCAGTATGCATGGTGAGCGACTTAGTGTCGCAGCTGAGTCCGCTAGCGTGCGCGTACGCACGCGCGCGCGGCGCAGACCGCATGAGTTCGTTCGGGGACTTCGTGGCGCTGTCAGATGTATGCGATGACGTCACCGCCCGCATCATCTCGCGCGAGGTGTCGGACGGCATTGTCGCACCGCAATACACGCCTGAAGCTTTGCAAATACTTAGCAAGAAGAAAGGAGGCAATTACTGTGTATTACAGGTTCGTTTATATCATTTACTAGCTGTAGCCCGCGAATCCGTCTGTGCGGGTTTTTAAAAAACTTAATAACTAACCTATGTGTTCTTCCAGGCTATGTTCTTCATCTATGCCAAATTTCATCATGATCCGTTAAGCTGTTCCGGAGATACCTTCATACAAACATCCATCCACCGATCTAAACATTCGCATTTATAATATTAGTAAGTAATAGTAGTAAGAAAATTGTTGGACAGCTTCTGAGACTAAAATCCCCATTTAAAATATATTGTTATTTCTGTTTTGTCACATGACAAGAATTACGATATGTTTTATAGACATTATGGTCTCAGAAACCCATGGTTAGCAATCTTACTAAGATTATAAATGCGAATTTCTAGATGAATGGATTTGTTATTACGTATATCCAGAATAGTTAAACAAGTCTTGGTAATATATGTCATAGATGTAGAACATAGTCTGGAAGGACATACAAGCTACTAATTATTTTAATTCCGCGCGGACGGAGTTGCGGGCGACAACTAGTAATGTAATTTTTTTTGAAGTAAACCACTTTATTGGATTCAGATGTTTTTAAACAATTTATCTACATTTTGAACAATTGAGGTTATGGGCGATGTTCTTTTTTTAATACGAACCTTTAATAATAGAGTTAACATAGAATCTTTCTATTTAAATAGATTTGTAGAACTTGTAACCAAATGAAGTAATCTGTTTGTTAATTCCAGATGGATCCATCTTACACACCATCATTGATGGAGCAAAAGACAATATTCGGTATGACATTAGAACAGAGACGCAATGATGCAAAAATAACTCCGGATCTATTCAAGAATATTGTCAGTAAAAATAAAAATCTACCAGAGAGCGCGGTGCGGGATCTTATCGTAGCTACTATTGCACTGAAGTATACTCAGAGTAACTCTGTGTGCTTTGCCAGAGATGGACAGGTATATTTCTATTTTCTAATAATTTAAAAAATTAGATCATTTTTTTTAATTCCAAAGACAATACATATTACATAATGTATTGCGGCAACACTGTCGATATCTCAGTACTGTCAACAATGTCATAGTTTGACGTTTCTTTTTTTTTCTTTAATTATCTATAAAATATTTTATTGCATTCGAAAGAAATACAATAATGATGTTAAAAAGTCTTGTTGGACTGTAATTATTTTGTTTTAAAGGTTATTTTCTACACTTAAATAAGATTTTAATCTTATTAATGTAAATGCGAACGGCTGTATGGATGTCACTGAAATTTGGCATACATGTAGAACATAGTCTGTAAGAACACATTATCTTACTAATATAAATGTGAATGTTTAAATGGATGGATGGATGGATGTTTGAAGGTCAACGGCTCAATGGATCTTTATGAAATTTGCACAGATGTAGAACATAGTCTGGAAGACCACAAATTTTATAAATGCGAATGTTTAATGTGTGTAGGTGGTAGGTATCGGTGCGGGTCAGCAGTCGCGCATCCACTGCACACGGCTGGCGGGCGGCAAGGCGGCGCTGTGGTGGGCGCGACATCACCCGCGCGTGCGCAACATGCGCTTCCGACACGGCCTCACACGCGCTGTGCAGGCGAATGCCATTGATAACTATGTTAATGGCACTGTCGGTTAGTATATAATAATAAACTCATTTCATCAATTCAGAAGGCAAACTCTTGATTACAAATCAGATAAAATAATGTAAAGAGAATAAAAACTTAATAAAAAAATAATAATACAGGCTTACTAGGATAAGACCTTTACTCAGCATTGTGCTCATGACTTTACTACTTACCTCTATAAAGGGCTATACGACCACCCGGTTCCAACTACACCATCTCGATGGCTGGTCAATCCATAAACGTGCGGTTTGCAAGAAACTTCACATGTGGCACAGCCGCAAACTTAATCTTACTAATATTATAAATGTTTGGAAGAAGATATCTCCAGAACGGCTGCATGAATATCGCTGAAATTTGGCATAGATTTATTTTTTTTTTTTTTTTTTATATTATAAGGTGGCAAACGAGCGAGCGGCCACCTGAAATCGCTGAAATAGCGAAGTGACCGTTGCCCATAGACACACGCAATTGCATATGCGTTGCCTACCTTTAATCGACGGAGGAGAGGATGCACAGAAAGAAAATATCTTCCCTTTCCATGCATCCTCTCATCCGGAAAGTCCACTTCCTCTTCCCATCCTTTCCTTATAAGAAAAAGGCTGGGAAGGGAAAGAGGACTAAATTAGGCCTCCGGGACGCACACTCATCAGACGAAACGCGGAATTGCTTCCACTTCACGCCTGTCTTCTGTGTGGTCGTGGTATTTCACCGGGCGAGCCGGGCCGATTCGTGCGAAGATGTTAAAGCGGGCTCTACCACTGTTAGAATTATTTAGAACATAATCTGGAAAAAAACATACACTATTAATTTTTTATTCCTCGTGGACGGAGCCACGGGCGACAGATAGTCATAAATGTTGTATATGTATTAAAATCTTTGTTTTTTTTGCAAAATTTACAACAAGTGTTGACAACTAAGCAACGTGGGCGATCATTTTCCTTATTTTGGAATGTTAAATATTTGTGTACAGGTTCGGATCTTCCGCTGGAACAGTGGAACTCTCTGTTCGAGGGCGAAGTACCCGCGCCGCTGACGGAGGCGGAGCGCGAGGCGTGGCTGAAGCAGCTGGACAAGGTCGCCCTCGCCTCTGATGCCTTCTTCCCCTTCAGAGACAATATCGATAGAGCTGTGCAGGTTAACTATATTTATTTTATAACTATACGCATGTTTTAAACAGAGTTATATTTTCATAGAAAAAAAAAAGTATCATTTTGCTGCCCATAGACATCCATTTAAGTTGTGATATATTTTGGTAAGTGAATGACATGTCTTACGTACCAAAATGAATAAAATTTCAAACTAATTTTTAACGATTTTTTGTAATAACGCAATTTTTAAGTCTGAATATAAGTATATTACATTTTTTATCTGTTTTACCAGTGAAACCCCACCTTAATAATTGTATTATTACATGTTTGTATATCGTTTGCAGTGCGGCGTTGGATATATCGGCAGTCCATCCGGCTCCAACAACGATCAAGAGGTTATCGAAGCCTGTAATGAACACAATATTGTTCTCAGCCACACTAATCTTAGATTATTCCATCACTAAACACCTCTTATATCATATATTTGCATTGGCACATAGAATACGTAACAATAAAAACATTTCACGAAATAAAATTACATTTTGATATAAATTTTATATATATAAAATTGTCTTCCAATCATAAATAATTATTAAGAATCTCTAAATGTTTACATTTGTAAGAAACTTATGATTGATACTAAAATATATTTTGTATTTCTCTTCTCTTATAAGAATGCTATAAAAATATCTTAAAATCACAAAAAAACATAATCCAACCTTTATATAATGCAAATTTACAAAATTATCATCATAATTCATTACCAATAAATATATATTTCCTATCGTCGTATGAAGAAGTTGATCATTAAGTAAACACGACACGAGTAAAACCACAGGATGCAGCTAGTATGAAGAATAAACAAGTATCGTTTATTAATCGTTTTTAATGTATTTTATTCGTAAGATTATTTCGAAATCGTATTTAGACAATTAACTTTTTTAAATCAATAAACAATTAACTAATGTTATTTGTCTTTACTTTTTATAATTTGCATGTAGACAACATTCCTTAAATGTAATTAGTAATAATGAAAAATGCCTTGATTATAATTGTTATATAAATAAAGATTAAAAAAAGTTGTTGTGTTGTGAACTTTTTAATTCCTATGTAATCATATGTATAGTTGTGGCAAAAGCAATCACATATACACAAAAATATAGATTTGGTTGATGTAAAATTGAATTTGCTATTTATTTCTATACGCCTCATATAAAAAAGAACTGCTATTGGGCCTAACATAGCGCACATGACAAATTTATATCCAAAGAGAGGTTTGGACCCCTAATAAAATATTGAGATTCTTCTATGACAAATCTACAAATCCTTAGGTGACCCAAGTTCCTCTTTTATTTCCGTTATTACGCATGCCGATATAATGCGTTGCAGTGGAATAGAACCCGAAATGCGTAGCGTAACAGCCAGAGTATTCATATCACGGTTTTTGTGAAATTATATTTAGCAAAGGTAACCCTTTGATTTTTTATTCACACTTTAAACAATAAAAGTGTAAACTAATCTTATAATTGGCCTTGTTTCTTGAAATTCACGATTCCGTATCCTAAAGTCCCAATCTAGTTCTTGTTATCATCACTTCGGGACTTTTTGTGAATCATTATCATCGGGTGTACTTGGTAAATCCCCGGTTGATTGCGTCATCGAAATGCATCGGTTTAGTGATGCCATGCATGAAATATACCCATATTTAGGGAACTGCTGTATCATTGAAACTTTTTTCCTTCTTCTTGTTCAATGTTTTGCTACAATTTTTATTACAGGAGATAGAGTAATCGTCAAAAATTCAGGATTATTATTTTAAAACATAACTTTAAACATTCATTTAAACCTAAGTGGTGAGAAAATTTCACATATATTCAGGAAATTATAAACAAAATCATGGCAACACCAAAACAATATTTTAGCAGTACTGCAAGACACACACAGGATCGCAATTTAAGATTGACGTTGCATAAAGTGTAAACACGATAGTGTGATTTTTGAAATTATTCAAACTTACGTTCATTATAGATATGTCGATTTCAAATAACAAATGCCATAGTTGTGATTAAGTATTTTTTATGTCAAACTAAACTAAGTCGTAAAAGTGTTCCACTAGAGTAAACTTAAACTTTTGATAACAAATTGTGTAGTTTACTGTGTGTTTACCTGGTTGATAATTTTGACAAAAATGTCTGCAAGTGAACCTGACATAAGCGAATCTTCCAATTTGGAATCACCATCCCCTCATTCGGATTCTCCTTACAGTTCTCCGTCACAACAGGTGCCCCAGTTGGCAAACTTCTTGACGGTTCTAACGTGTGGGGATAATAAATTCAATTATGATGCCGGTAAGTACAATACACATTGTTCTGCATTGACAAAAAGCATGTTTCTTCATTTTTTATAGCGACAATATAATTAAGCCCTTGAAAGAATGCATTGAAAGAAGGCCAATGAATCACCAAATTCATTGAGGACAGCCCTCATACCAGTCTTGTTTCCTTATCTTCTATTTGTTTTTAATGAAGTCTCTTTGTTTACATTGCAAAAATAATTCGATCATGTTCTCAAATTACACTAAACCATTATTTAATGGAAATTTGTAAATGGTGTCAAATATCACTGCTTTTTTACATAATATATTGGATTGGCATAGTATTAGTTGGTAACAAGCAATGGAACTGTTCAGATCTGACGGATATAATATATTTTCAATGGCTACAGCTGCTAGTGGTCAGTGTTAAAGGCAGAGATTAACTTTTTTTTAAATTAAGTTGCAAACAAGCAAGCGGCCTCTGAAATTGCCAAAATACCAAAGTGACTGCTTACCTTTGATCAACAAGGGGACGGACAGAAAGAGGATATTTCCCTGAGTTAGGTGTCCTAAATTAGGCCTAGGGCATGCACACTCAATAAACAAAATGCAGAGAGACTTTCACTTTATGCCTGTCCTTTTGGTTGTGGTGTTACACCGGTAGAGCTGACCCATTCATGCAAAATATGTTATTATGGGTTATTATCTACCTATTTTATTAACAAATGTAACATATTTCATAGAAACATTTAGTTATTGCACAATATAAAATCAGCTGAGATTGTGGTTAAAAATTCTTTATTTTTAACCTGTGCTACAGTTTTAGTCTTATTTAGTTATATCTATTATTTTCAAAGTATTTCAGGTGTCTACTAAAAACCATTCACATGATCATATACTATGATGCCTTCATAATATTCCAATAAGATTTATAAGAATATGGATAAAAAAAAAGATTTTTATATCAATATTCTGTAGTAGCTAGTTCTAGATAAGACTAGTTATATTTCTAGATAGGTGTATATTTGCAATATTTGCAGTTTGCTTGCTTGGATGGCACAATGTTAATAACTATTTCCTTTGCAGGAAAAAAGCCATTTCTTCGTATTATTGAGCAGCCGCAGAACCATTTTAGATTTCGATACAAAAGTGAAATGGTAGGAACACATGGTAGTCTACTGGGAAAATCATATGCTCTTAATAAAACTAAAACGCATCCAACAGTTGAGGTAAGTCAAGCAATTTCTTTTTGTGATTTTCATAACCAAAGTATAAAAGATAATGACGGACGGACATTTTTATAATATCTCCTGCAGAAGACATGTTATAGTTCAGATTTTCTTAATAAGTGAAATAAATAATCCAAATCCTTTTTCTGACTGTAGACAGTCTATTTTCTCATTATAAATAGTAGCTATTATATACCATGGTGTGCTGTTTTTTTGTTTATTTTAGGAGTTGAAATTTTGTCTCTTGTTTTGCATAATTAGCTTCTTAGGAATAGTTAAATGATTTGATTCTTAGAAGTGTAACATAACAGTGTAACATTGTTGTAACTTGATAGCAATATTTATAGTTTGGTGAAGTGTTACATGAACAGGCATATTGAATAAATGTTTTTTGTGTGTATTGTCCAATGACCATTGAACTACAATACAATAGTCATAGACATAGGCTACATAACAGTGGCTTTCTGACATAAAATTCTTTCATCTTTGTCAAAACAGAGATAACAATATGTTTTTAAAGGAGATTTTGAATCTTAGAAACCCACTGTTATTAAATTCTTTATCAACCGCCAGTTATAGTTTATTTATATTTTCATAGTATGAGCTATGCGCGACTCTGGCCGTGCGGAATTCAGAAAAAAGATAATTAATAGCCTATGTGTTCTTCCAGACTAAGTTCTATATGTATACTAAATTTCATATAGATCCATTCAGCCGTTCTGGACATATAATATTATTAAGATATAAAGTTCTTAATAAGTAAAATAGAGTACTGATTTCTAATTCAACGGTTCATTTATTCTTTGAATTGCGAATCTAGCGATTCTAATAATCCATTTAGATTTAGGCATAATGTTCGGGTTCTAAAAGACAATGATTGATATCGTAAACGGATGTCGTGGACACTTAATCAGAATATTTATTGCTGTTTAAATATACTATGAAACAAATACGGTGTTTTAGCTTATCTAGCTCTTCCTGTCACAATCATAATCAGCAGATATGTAGGTACATTAACAGTACCTTAGTGTAAATATATGCTATAAAATGCTAATTTTACGCAATGGGACTCCTTTTATTACTTTACCATGGATCAGGGCAATTAGAACCTAAATGATGTATGCATTTCACTGGTGAATTCACACTAAAACTGTTATTTTTAGCTGGTCAACTATAGTGGTCAAGCAAGAGTGAGGTGTAGGTTAGCGCAGCACAACAATTCCGATGAACATCCCCACAGGCTTCTAGAGGACGATCAGGATAGAGATGTTAGTGCGACAGTCCCCGAACATGGCAGTTATAAAGTGGGGTAAGTTAAAATTTTCAAAGGTCCATTAGTCATGTCATCTTTGTTGATGGAAAAATTCCACGTATACAAAACGCTTTAAAGTTCATTAAGGAGCGAGATAAACGTATTCCAATACTTTATGAGCGCAAAATGCTTCAGTCAAAAGGTTCATATATAGTTATGTGGAAATGAACCTTTAGATTGACCCCGAGGGATTTCCCTTTTGTTAATTGTTTTTCTTAGGAAACATTTTCCTTCGGGTCTACGGGTCTTGGTCTAGTAATACCGGCGCAATTTTAGGACCGAGTTGCGTTCAGCGAGGTACAATAGGTGGTTTCTCATTTGTTTTAAACGTACGTGTCATTCAATTTGGAGCATGTCCCAAAAAGATGATATTCACCTGGGGTACATGATGACGACAAAAAAAGTTAGAAATGTGTTTGCCATATATGTCGTTCATACAACTGGGGTGGCCCCGGTTTGGGTGCTGGTAAGGCAATAACAAATACGTCTAATACGTGATAACCTTTAACTTCACGCGTTATATATATTTGGTTACTTGATTGATGGTGCATTTATAAATTATAACTGACGGTCATTGTTTTATTATCACTAGCTATCGCCCACGACTCCTTCGGCGCGGAAAAAAAATATTCATAATTAATAGGCTATATGTTCCTCCAGGCTTTGTCCTATATGTATGCGAAATTTCATCGAGATCCGTTGAGCTGTTGTGGAGATATCTTCAAACATCCATCCATCCATGTAAACATTCGCATTTATAATTATTACGTATTCATTTGTTAATCTTATTCTTAATATATTACATTTCATATGTAAAATAAAAAATATACAAAATATATTATATTAAAAATAGAGCACCACAGGCTGCGGAGTCCCATGACTCAAACAACCAGTGGTCAGGGCTGCAGAGATAGGAACCTTCTCACGATGCGTGCGGTTTCTATGATAACTGCCTTTTGTTTCGGGCCCTTAATCCAACTGTTTAGGGAGAGCTTCTTAAGATGTTGGTCAAAGCTCTTCGCTATCAGTCCATTCACCGATACGTCTATCGGAATAATGGTAGTCGATTTCATATTAATAAGATGTGCAATGATTGGAATTTATTGAAGGCTAGTTTATAACTACCTATATAAGTTGTTATGACATGGCCTTGAATTTGTTGCTAAGTATTTTATTAGTCACACACTTAATGAATAGATTCTAAACGGCGTCAGTTATATTAAATACAACTTTGTATGCAACACAATTTACCGGGAATAATTGGAAACTATAGTCGCTAAGATGACTTATTCTGGTTGCAAACTCTAGTAATATTACGTCGAGAAAAGACTATCTTTCTATTTTTTTTTACATTGCCAGTTTTTCAATGTTTCTCTTTGTTTTAGATTCCCTGGTATGGGTATAATACATACAGCGAAAAAGGATGTAGCAAATTTACTGTACAAAAAATATGAAAATAAAAAGAAAAGTTCACAAGACGAAAGTTCTTCAAATATGGTATGTAAATTATATATAATTTCACTCCACGTATACTTGTCTCGAAAGCTTTGTTACCCTTTTACAAGGAAATTACACCAAACGATAAAAGTGAAATTTTAAACAATTAAAGTCATTCTATAGAAGTAAACCATATTAAATAAAAAAAATTATGAATTATGATCAAACGAACAATGGCCGATCTATCCATCCAAACATTCGCATTTATAATATTAGTAAGATTTAGTGATATGAAATATTTTAACGTTTTATTTTATAAAGATCTCTAAAATATATGTATTTTACGTTATAATACTGCGAAGTACTGCTATTTCCCTTTTGTTATCGTATCGACATTAAAAATACGTCATAATATCGTGGGATAAACAGTTTCCATGTTAACTTGTAACATAAAATTATTATTTAATAATAAACACAACTTTTTATAGCCGTTTATGTTATTGGCCATGGTGAAAATGCCTTATAAGTTTTTTCTTTTTTTTCCTGTATAATTTTTTAAATCAACATTCAGTCTTGAATGTCCCTAATTAATTGTACGATAAATTGAACGATTTAGTTTTTACCACTTAATTTTGATAAGCGGTTTTACCTCGCCAATGATGTTGGACTCGGCCGGTAGCTTCCCTATCTAAATATTCTTCTTTATGCGCCATGATGCATCCTAATTTTGCACACGCCCTAAGATTTTTCTTTTTGTTGTCGGAGGCCAAGGCCTACTTCGGGTCGCTGCGTCGCCTTAGTTTAATTTTGATAAGGGAGTAATTATAGGTACTTATACTTTGCAAACTGATTATACAGTATGTTGTGGTTTGCATTAGTCAGCTCACTGCTTGGTGACATTAGTTGTTAGCGCGCAACCGTGCCAACCGCACTGCTGTTTGGTAAAATCACGTTTCCACTCGTACGCAATGTTTTTCTATCAAATCTGTGGTATGTTGTTTTTTTATTTTTTTTCTCTATTACATTTTTTTTAGCTCCGATTGCATTGTGAAAACATTGCAAAAAATATCAACTTGAATATAGTCAGGTTGAAATTCAGCGCTCACGATTTTAATACAGACGAAGAGATTTGTAGTCCGGTATTTTCCGAGCCTATACATAACATGAGTGAGTACATTTTATTAAAAAATAAACAGCCTTTATAACCTTTGTAGTTGTTGTCCGCGACTCCGCGCGCGGGAATAAAAAAAATATTAGTCTATGTGTTCCAAACTATGTTCTACATCTATGACAAATTTTAACGACGTCCATGCATCCATCCATCCATTTAAACTTTCGCATTTATAATATTAGTAAGATAGTAAGATTATTTTTAACACTTAAAATATCCTAATACCTTTAGATTTAGTATACTTCTAAATCCGTAATTTTCATAAACTTTAATATTGTTTCAGAGAGCGCGGCGACAAATGATTTAAAGATTTGTCGCATGAGTAGATGCATCGGTCGTCCTAAAGGAGGGGACGATGTTATTATATTAGTGGAGAAAGTTAATAAAAGTATGTAATAATTTTTATTACTTTGTAATAAGACGACAGTACTAAATATAGCTTATCTGTGATCACGCTGTATAAAGCACAATAAACAATTAGCTTTGATTAGTCCATAGGCAAGTGTTTATTACCAAAAAATAAACATCCTGTTTCTCCCATCTCTTAATAATGTAAAGTTCGTGACACGCTGTATAAATCTTTTGTTATGCCAAATTTCAGTAATACTCGTTTAACGGTTCTGGAGATACCTTCATACAAACATCTGAATATTCACATTAATTATATTAGTAAGAAGTTAAATTTTGTGACCAACATACATGTTTTTTTTTTAATTTTTATAGAGAATATAAAGATACGTTTCTACGAATTGGATAAGAATGGGGTAGAATGCTGGTCAGCGGAAGGACATTTTCTGCAAAACGATGTGCACCATCAATACGCTATAGTGTTCAGGTAAATGATACATAGGTACAGTCAGCTGCATAAATATTTATACATTTAAGAAATTTTAGGAACTTGTATAATTCTTCAGTTTCAAAAATACGTATACATGAAATTGTCAATAACATGTAATTATAGTCGGAAGTATACGGATGGATGTATATATACGCTTATTTTTGAAACCGTAGGTGTATACTAGTTTTGGAAGCTTTGTAAATGTATACATATGTAAGCAAGCTGACTGTACATATAAACTTATTAAATTAACCTGTTTTATCTGTTACATTAACAGATATGTAGTCTCAATTGTATAGGTAATATTAAAGTCTTGTAACTTTGTATATATTTATCACCGTGGAATTGTAACACAATAATGAATTTATTATCTAAAAACAAGTAAACAACGTTGTCCAACTTATTTTTAACTTACAATGTTGCAAGGTAAATTATACCTTCTGTGTTGTTATAGGCAGAAACTTTTTAGTTTCAAATAGCACTCTTACTTTGCTGAATATCTCACATTATCATCTACGCAGTTCCCTTCCACCTCTCACACTTTCCAGATATCTGAAAATATATCGACTGTACATTTAGTGTCGGTAAGCTCAGGGGTTAAGCACTAATGTGTAGATCCTGGGTTCAAATTCCGCCATGTACCAATCTGTTTTTCCTTTCTTACGGTGAACATCGTGATGCAACACATCATAAAAAATATGTGTAAAGCCGCACCGGGCTAGAGTGTTGGCCACTTCAGTGATGAGATATACTAATGATGATGATTTTTTCATCATGCAGGACACCGCCTTATAGATATACTGATATAACTTCAGAAGTACAAGTGATGATAGAATTAATGCGACCGTCCGACGGCCGCACAAGTGAGCCTAAAGAATTCACATACAAGCCAAAGTACGTCAACACTATTTCGAAGAAACGGAAGGCAAATTCATCTTACTCGTCTATCGGGAGCTCGGGTAATTCCATTTTTTTATTGTTCTTTAGTTATAATAGATTGGTGGCTTCACAACAAAGCGATTGCTGAAAATTTCAGTTTCGTTTAAATTTTAGCGCGCCTTTTAATGTTATTAAGTGACAGCTTCAAATCGATATATAGTATACATAATATATATGTATATATACTATGTTAGCATACCTTTGTTGCATTTGTGGTACCTTAAAAGGTTATCTTACTTTTTAAAAATATTTTTGTATATTTCAGGAGGTTCATTAAACAGTTTAAGCGATCTGCCAGTTCCCATACAAATGATGAACGTAAGTGTTTCAATTTAATACTTTAGCATTTGAGTTGGCACGTGAGTCACAAGTGTACTAAACTTTTCCACGTGCCAAGTATATTTTTTTATTATACTTTTAGTAGCTCCAATAAAGTTGTTTTAATTTCAGCAAAAAAACGATATATCTCACGATGAAGTTATGAAAGACCTGTCTACGTTTAATATACCGGTAAGTCTGAATAAATAGTTAAAACTTTACACTCATTTATTAGGAGAAACACAATACTTAAACTATAGTCGCGCAAGCACAACAGCTTAGGGTCCGTTCAGACAAATCATGCGGAGTGCATATCAGATTTTATCTTAAATAAAATTAACTTTATAAGAAAAGCCGTGAAAGTAAACCTTATTTCAATTGTATAAAGCTCAATTTTACTTGCAATACAAATTTCCTCTAATGCGCCCCGGTTTGTATGAACCTTCAGTAATAAAATCAAGGTAATATTTAATTATCAGGTATCCCAAGTATCAGAAGCGCCTGTGTCCAATGAAATGTTATTAGGAGAGGCCATGTTTGATTTATCTTCTATTACGCCTAACTCCGGCATGACTCAGTTCAATGTTTGCCCCATGTTGGGACAACCCAATATACCTGAACCACCCGTACTGCAGTTGAATTCATCAGAAATCGACCGATTGCTTAAACATAACTCCAACATCACCGCTGAAGAGAAGAAACAATTCTGCGAAGCTGATTGGACGGGTAATTACGCTTTTTTATTTTATAAACTTTTTTTGTAATAAAAAATAATACGTAGGCTATGGGTAGTTCCAGATTATGTTCTACATCTATGTATGCCAAATTTAATCGGTATCCATTGAGCCGTTTTGGACATATCTTCTAACAAACATCCATCCATCCATCCATCTAAACATTCTCATTTATAATATTAGTAAGATTGATTTTTTTAACCAGTCAAATTGTTTTATTTTTTTACAGTTTTCATTTATTGGATTAGTCATATTATAATAAAATCTTAAATACGAAAGTTTCTATGTTTCGTCTTCACTAATCAGTCTTTACAGTGTTGCTATTTATTCATCGCATTTAGATTGTTTTTTTTTTTAGATTACTTCAAATCGTACAGCGACAGCGTGCCAGATATGGTAAATATGATTAAAACAAGTATTTACAATCCATTTCACTATCAATTTCCATAATCGCCGCTTAAATAACCATTATAAAGTGGAAATGCAATGTCATTTACCTAAACTTATCACCAAATCTCACGGGCGGTTTTTTAAACGCCTCAGTTGTTAATGTTGACAGCTATCGAGTGAATAATTCTGAAATCAGTCTTGTTTCCTTCACTTAGAGCTCAAAGTACTGCGCGATAAAAAAAGCTTTGTCTTATAGATACATACAATTGCATTTGTTCTATTTGAATGGTTTTAAGCGCGTTAAAAGAAACGCTAGTGCGTATCCACTCTTATGCTTCTAATTGGGAGTAAAATTAATAAAATAGGTACGACCTTTCGAATGTCGCAGTACAAACTTGTTGATAAACCGTGTTGCCGCAATTAGTGACGTTTAATGATGTCCCGCGACCTTGTCCGCGTTGAGTTCAAAATCTAAAACATACTTTGACCATACATTAGATCTTTTCAGAAATAATTTGAAAAAAATCACAAAATATACCAACAATTATTTGTTTTATAAAAAAATAATCTCAAATTAGTTGTAAAATTTTAATTCTTAATGCAACTAAATATTTCAATCAAATACAATACATAGAATAGATATTTAATATTTACTTCTAACCAAGTACATGTACTTAACGATAAAAAGACTGAATACCGAAATAAACGTAGAGATTATTGTTAGGAAAACATGTCTAAACAATTAACTAATTAATCAAAGGCACAAAGTTTTAGTTAGTTTTAGTTTTAAATGTTCAAATACTTTGTAACCGTTTTTGACAATCTCATTTATTACGTAAGTTGTCTTTCTTAATTAAGTTTTATTTTTATCCAAAGTTTTTTATGTTTTTTTTTGCTAAGATCTGATACAAATTAATTTCAAAGTATTATTAGTTTTAGTATAATATAAATATCACACTCAGTTAAATGGTCACTGAGGGAAGTCTTAAGCTCCTTAGTGTTGATTTAGTTTTAAAAATCCGGACTATATAGATTCGGAATCCGGAGCTTTGATTTTTAAGAATAAAATCTCCGTATAAATCTTATCGTCATCCCTGACCTTATCCTTGATAAAACAGGGATAGCAATATGTTTAAACGGGGATTTTAGTCTCAGAAACCCACTATGAGTGTGGCAGTATGTTAAAATTATGGGATCATTCAATGATCGTATGAACCTTGAAAGGAGGTTGTTCCGAAGAAAATCACGAAACATCTCAATCAGGGATGTGGGCAAAAATGTCACGTGTATTTTCTGATTGTTGTACCTAAAATTGAATAATATTTTTAAGATTTCCCGTGATTTTAGCTATAATGGAACGATCATAAAGATCCTAAAAAAGTTCACGTGATTCTTGGAAGATCTATTTCACGCTATTTTATATGTTTTATCTTAAATGTATGATTATTATCTGTTGTAGTTTTTTGTATTTTTTATTATCATTTTATCATTGTTAATATTTACAAAAGAATGTTTTTTTTAATTTTTTGACATATTTTAAACTAAAAGTACAAAGTACACAATTATGATAAAAAAAATAGTAGAGTTTTTAAAACGTTATAAAAAATTAATAAGAGTATAAATCAGAATGCAGGGACAATTGTTGAGAAATTCTATTTTTTTTTTTGATAATTCAAGCGACGTATAAAAATGTCCGAATATTAATGAGAAATCTGTACTCTAAATATATTACAAATTTTATAACAAACAACATTTTTGTTTAATTCACCTCACATTTATAATATCCGATCCTAATTCATCTCGGATGCGCCATGTGCATTGCAGCCCATGGAATGTTAGATTATTAAGTTTTATATAAAAAAAATCCTAGCTTGTTTATGGGTTAATTGATCCCATCTGAAAGTGTTTATTTTAAATTGAGGCTTCTATGCAGTTAAAATGAAACGACTAAACCACATTATCATCCTGATACCGTAGGTTTCTTAGGTCGAAATTTCTGATTAAAACATATCCCCGTTATTATCGTTGACAGAACAGTGTTAACAATATGTTTTGGACGGGAATTTTGGTCTTAGAAACCCACGGTTAGGTTAGTAGATCATCTATGGACATTTTCATCCTCATGATATAAATAGTTGAAGTGAATTGAGTGCTTTTGTTAATGAGACTCGTCATGGGCAAAATAAAAGTCTTTTACAAAATTCTGATATTGGTCGATTGATTCCAGTGAAATGTACCACTGATATACTCAGTCTTCTGATTAATGAGACTGTTCAATAGTTTTCTGGATAAGTAGGCATGTAGTTAAAAAAGGATATTCTGAGTAAACTTCTAGATAAAGGAATGAAAAGATTGACTCAAAAACCATTCCCATTATCTTTGAGTAGGTACAGTCAGCTGCATTATTTGTTTTTGTCTTATATCATAAGGTGGCAACGAGTGAGCGGCCACCTGAAATGCTGAAATAGCGAAGTGACTGTTGCCTATCGACAAACGCATTTGCACATGCGTTGCCTACCTTTAATCGACGGAGGAGAAGATATACAGAAAGAAATATTTTCCCTTTCCATGCATCCTTTCATCCGGAAAGTCCACTTCCACTCCCCATCTTTACCATTATAAGAAAAGGGTGGGAAGGGAAATAGGACTTAATTAGGCCTCCGGGACGCACACTCATCAGACGAAACGCGGAATTGCTTCCACTTCACGCCTGTCTTTGGGTGGTCGTGGTATTTCACCGGGCGAGCCGGACCAATTCGTGCGAAGATGTTAAAGCGAGCTATACCACTGTTAAAAGTAGTATGTATACTATGTCGATAGAGTGAATTTTTAATTTATAGAAACACATTTTTAAGAGTCTTGACGTAATTTTTTAGTGATTCCAAACACTTTTTAACATATCTACATTAAAAAAAATTAAGTGGATAGTTGAAGTGCTTTGGGTTTTTATTTTTAAAATGTAAGTGGCCAATAACTGATTTGAGTCAACAGTTTTGTATTGTTTTTGTTAAGAGTTAAAGTTATAAACATTTTTTAAACAAGTGTTTGAGAGCGGAAACCCACAGCAACAGTTACATTTATTTCTCATTAAATGTACACAATGCTCGGTTTACATTATTCCAGTCCAGCGATCTAAATCAGCGCAGAACTACAACTGGAAATGTTTAAACTTAAAGTTGTATTAATACATTGTATGAATTCTAGTGTAGGATTCAATTTTTCAGTGTATATGCACTGATTACGATAGCTGGCTGGAATAATGTAATCCGGGCATAACCTTAAGGTCCTCTATTATTTTTCTAGATGTCCGGCATGGAGTTCATAAGATTGGTGCCTGATTCTGCCAGAGCAAATGTAAGTAATGTTTTTGTCATAAAAATTTTAATTTAAAATATAATAGTCGTTACTAAAATATAACGAATTGAGATAAGTACCAAAAGTTTTTTTTGTTAGAATTTAAATGGTTTATCTTTATATATATAATTCTTCTGTGCGTGTGTATGTCATTGAACTTCTCTCAAACGACTGGACCGATTTTGATGAAATTTTTTGTGTGTGTTCAAGGGGATCTGGGAATGGTTTAGATTCACAATTTTGTCCGCTGGACAATGTTTTTTTAATTAATTTTTAATTTATTAGTAGTTGTTGATTTTGGAATGTTTTACATTGGATCCGACAGACGGCGCTACCATCGCAGTGTCAATTTTTAAATAATATTCGAATTTAGATTTTATTTTTTTATTTTAATAGACAGGACAACGTCTGTCGGGTCCGCTAGTTATATATTATATTGGTTGTTTTGGTTTGGTCGCTTGTTCTTATGAAATTAAATGAATAAGTAACATAACCATTGTTTTACAGAACCACAAAATAGATGTACATTTTCTGTCCACTACATGCGACTGCATTTCGATCACGCTGTCAAAGGCTCAATTTTCTTCTGTCTACTCGTCAAGTTTATCTTTTCGTAAACTTGTCAATTCTAAATACATGTTGTAATAATAAATGTTTTTAAGATTAACGCTCTTTTAAGGTTTTTAAGGGTAACGACTCGCCGCGGTGTAAACGCGGCAACTGGGGGTCAACGCAGGAACGATTCGTTTACCACGTGCCGAGTTATTACCGAAGTGGGTCTTACCAGCGTTGACCTTTAATATTTATAGCTATAACTAATACGTATCATGAATATTATTTTCAAATTATTCAATTTGTTACCAAAGAAATTAATTAATTAAGTTTTTAGAGGGAAATTGGTTTAAGAAAAAAGAAACATACAACTTCATACGTTAAATATATGTCTTTATTAAAAATTTAATCTATTATGCATTAAATAATTATACATATAAATATTTTCGACTAATATAAATATAATCTGTTCGAACTTGACGAGTAGACTTAGTAAAATATATGTTTTTCTGTTTTGATAGTTATGTACTCATGTTTAGTGTATCTTATAATGTACAGATAAGTGGACCTGTTTCACCAAAGCCTATAAAGACAGAAGAGGAAGACGTCAAATATAACATCGAAAATACAAAAAACAACGAGTATTCTGCTTACTACAAATCTGAAGATGGCCTTGAAGTTAAAAAAGTATTGTTTTTTTTCCTGTTTTCGTTTTAAATTATTAATTTATTTGATAAAGTATTTATTTTTTATACTTCACAGCTTGTAACGGAATTATGTGACATGATAAAGAATAAGACGGCACATAAAAAGCAATTGGTCAGAGCTAAGCTTGAACGACTGTTCGAAATGCGACTCTCTAATGGGGACACGTAAGTTCATTTTTCTATGACAGCGAATACGTCCACACGCGTTCATGTTTATGACGTCACAGACTACGCTTCTTTTCTGTGACGTCATTATTGGAATTATACTTAACTAACTGTCGCCCGCGACTCTGTTTGTGGAATTAAGAAAAACATAATTAGTAGCCTATATGTTCCGAGATCTGTTCAGCCGTTTTGGACATACCTTCTAATATACATCCATTCATCTAAACATTTGCATTTATAATATAAGTAAGATTGATAAATTAACTAAAACGATTATAATATTTTTATAATGTTTAGGTTCTTGCATATGATGTTGTCAAGCAATCAGCCCAGTTTGGAGTACATTGTGAAGCTGATAGATAGCGTGAAGCTGACACATTTGCTGAACAAGACCAATAACTACGGTCAGTCGGTGCTACATTTGGCTGTCACACACGATCTGCCCAAGCTCGTCACCTTCCTCGTCTCTAAAGGTACACGGAAATCACTTCTCTGCTTTTAGTCTAGACTAGCTTTCGCCCGTGACTCTGTCTGCGCGGTATTAAACAAAAACTTAATAGACTATGTGTTCTTCCAGACTACGTTTTACATGTGTGCCAAATTTCATTTAAATGAGTTCTGCCGTACAGGATATACCTTCAAATAAACATCCATCCATCCAAACATTCGCATTTATAATATTAGTAAGGTGAGAGTTTTCGAGTATGCGGGTTCGTGCGAATTGTTATTTGAAACGCGATGTAATTAGTTAGTGTATTTGCAGGTTGTAATCCAATGATAGAAGATAATGAAGGGAACAATGTGGTACATTATGCTGTGATCTGTCAGTCGTGTCTGGAGCCTTTGCTCGACGTCATCAACACTAACCGAATCACTTGTGATATCAACGCTTATAATAATGGTAAGTGCCTCATACTTTTGTGTAGAAATGTGACAGGACCGCGAAATATAAGTTCGTGGACTCTGTGTTACGTAGATTTTTTTGTTTGACACATAAATCGTAAGTTAAATATGAATTGTGTGATAATTTCAAAGCTCTAAGTAGGTGGTGCAAGCGTCAAGGGATATAAAACATGTTTTTCTTTGTATATAATTTGTGAATTAAAAAAAACTTATTGTTGAATTTTTCGAGTGAAATTTGACGGAATTCGTTGCTACGATTACAGTGGACAAAGTATTTTTGTATATCTATGGTATCATCATCATCAGCTCACTATACTTCCCCACCGAGGGGCTCAGAGCCTACCCTAAGTTAAGAGTGGCCATAGTCAACCACGCTGGCCAAGTGCGGGTTGGTTGACTTCACAAATATCTTTGAATTTCTTCTCAGATATGTGCAGGTTGCATCACGATGTTTTCCTTTACCATAAGAACGTCGGATAAATGTACATATGTAAATCGGAAATCGAAAAACACATTGGTACATGGCGGTATTCGAACCCAGGACCTGCAGATTGCAAGACAAGTGCTTGACCACTGAGCCACCGACGCTCCATCTATGATATACTTAGTTCTATTTCCACTCTTGTTCATATTGACATCTATAGTATGCAAAATCCGGTTTGTCAAAAAGGATAAAATAAAATGATTAATAAAAGAACATTTTTTCTATCTGTCCCTCTTATTCTCCTTATAAAAAAGATATAATTTTTTGTTGCTACAAAATTTTCAATCGTGTTTTTGGTGGTTATATTTTCATAATGCTGCACTTTGAACGTGAACAGAGAAGCAGACAGCGTTACACTTAGCTGCTATCTACGGTTCCGCGGAGAGCACGCGTGTGTTACTCGGGCGCGGCGCGTGGCTGCAGGCGCGGGACAGCGAGGCGCGCACGGCGCTGCACCTCGCCGCTTACGACGACTGCCTCGCCGTGCTGCAAGCGCTCCTCGAATACGCACAACCTGTTAGTATAATACAAAAAACTAGACTAACTAAAGCTAACTAAATAAAAGGGGCTTGACAGACAGACGGACAGACAACAAAGTGATCCTGTAAGGATAACGTTTTTTTTCCTTTCGAGGTACGGAACCCTAAATACTGCCGCCGTGGACGTTTTGTTACGAATTTCCTTAGTGTTGCCATATTCGGTACAAAATGACATTTCCGAAATCGTAAATTTTGTATTTATAATATATTCTTACAAATTGAAAATATGTTTCCAATAACTATCCATTAATTTTTAATTTAGTAAGATTTTTTAATTAACAATATTTATAATTCAATGGTGATATAAATGTAAGTACGTATAACAAGAAAAGAGGAATTAAAATTATATTTACACATGTCACTAGTTGACATTTATTGGAGTTTTTTTTTTCAAAGTTTCAATGTTTAAATCAATCGACAAACATGTCTGTTTAAAATAATTACAGCCTTCATCATCATCATCATCAGCTCACTATACGTCCCCACCGAGGGGCTCGGAGACTACCCTAAGTTAAGTTAATTACAGCCTTATAAAAGTAAAATTGTAAAGTTAGATTTTTTTATATGTTACTTAGAGCGACATAGACGCGGTGGATGGTCGGGGCAACACCGCGCTGCAGATCGTATGCGGCGGTGCCATGAGAGAGAACTCTGTTGAAATTGTCAAACTACTTATGGATAAAAATGTAAGTATTCATGCTGTCTCTTTCATTCTCTATATAATATTAAAGCTATATGTCCGTATGTCTTTTAATAGAATACAAAACCAAATCAGAATTTAATAATTTTGTTTCAAACATTAATTTTTACATTTTTGCAGCTTCACGAGTTATAAATAGCTCTCAAACTATAAATATAATATTGAATTACAGGCAAATCCTAATAAAAATGAAGAAAATAATCAGCCGGCGTGGAGGATGGCGCGAGACAAGCCTGAGCTGCAGCAGGTGTTCAGGAAGTACATCCCGCAGCTAATGGATTGTGAGGAAGACATCAAGTCAGAGCCAGAAGATGAATATGAATCTGCTGATGAAGGAGTAAGTATTCCTGTTAAGACGCTTTTTCCACTAGCTTCGTAGCCCGTCAATACGATCCCACTTGATATGAATAATATAAAATATCGTCTACTAGTTGTCGACCGCGACTCTATCCGCGCGGTATTAAAAAAAACAGTAGCCTATGTGTCCTTCCAGCCTATTTTCTACATGTGTGCCAAATATCATCAAAATCCGATGAGCCATTCCGGAAATGCCTTCAAACAGACATCCATTCATACATTGGCATTTATAATATTAGTAAGATTTTTCTTTAATTAGCCTTTTTGGTAAGGCCAACGGAGATCCGGGTAAACCTCACATAACCATGTTCTCCCCCTCCTGGAGAAAGGTATCTTTGTTAAGGTCCCCCCTCCATACCAAAAAAAGTGGTGTGAGATTGTGTGAACTTGACAGGAGACAATGGAGAGCTGCCTGCCGGAGCTGAGCCTGTACGTGGATGAGGTGTCGAAGGTGCTGGACGCGAGCGGCGGATGGCGGGAGCTGGCGCAGCGCCTGCAGCGCGACTCCCTGCTCTCCTGGTACTCCGCCTCGCCCAGCCCCACCAGGAAACTGCTCACCTATCTCAAGGTAACTCTCTCTTTTTCACATACACTCTCTATCTCTCTCGCTGTTACACACTTTATATTTTACTCTATCTCTTTTCTTTTTTCTATCTCTCTTGCTGTAATAAAGTGTTGAGTCTTGACTTTTGTGGTATACTGTTTTAGATAAAAAATGACCAATTTTTAGCGTAAGTTATTTTTAAATTGAATACTATTTTTCTTTAGTATTGTATTTTGTCGCATCATTTTATTTGATAGTAGAAAACCAATAAAGAATAAATGTATTTTCGTTCCTTAATTTATAATTAAATTTGCAGGATTGTGACGATGATATAACATCGAAGTCTTTGGCACTACTTCTAGAAGACATGGGTCAGAAGGAAGCTGCGAGTGTCATCAGACGATACATCAGCTGATGACAATGGCACCATTTGACACAATTTTAGTAACAATTGCTAATCGTATTGACTCGTCATTAATTATTTCGATATTTTGTTTTTTTTTTCAGTGATTGCGGAGACCCAATTCTGTGAATGTAAATTTATTATGTTCCAAATTATGATTTTTATCATTGGTAATGACAAATTTTATCGATAAATCTATTATTTGTTATTAAGTTTTTCTTTTTTTTACTGGTAAATAAGACTAATAGAATAAGTGAACTTGTTTTGTATGTTTAAAATTAATAAGCACGACTTGGAACTTTGGTCTAACAAATAATAGTAAAAAATGCATATTTTAACCAACAAAAAGTATGCATGTTTTTTTTTTTTCACTTGAAATCTCTTTGTAGTCTTTCTAACGTTATCAAATTTCTTTCAATCCTAATACCTTACATAAATTGATATAAAGAATATATCGGTTTTCGTTATTAACTTGTATTTTATTACCTATTAAGATTTTTTTAAGTTTAAAATATAAATGTTGCATAAATATTAAATGCTTGATAGGAATAAAAAAGTTTATGCTCATTCTCTATCTGTAAAACGGAATGGTTTCATAACAAATGTAATTAAAACAATATTGCAAAAAAACATTGTAAATGCCATTGCCGAATTTATTGGATATATTTTTAAGCACTTAAGTCATTGTAATATTTTGAATTTATAATAAAGTTCAGTATATATAATGACACAAGACTACGTAACATTAAATTTAATTTGCTTTGACAATTCAAAATTTTATCAAATATTCACATACAAATGAAAAAACAAGAAATATGTTAACATGTTCTGCCAACACTTTGATGTTGGGATGCTATCAATGCAATTAATAAATAATGCAAAATAGCAACACTTTCTTATACGAGGAGTGTTGCCATTTTTGTTTATTTTTTTTTTAATCAGAATTAGTTTTGGAAAAATCATTGTAATATTTTAAGCTTACTTTTAAATGTATCGTTATCGATGTCGTTATCGTGTCGTTTTATTAACGCGTATACTTTAAGAGATACTAGAAGTTGTTAAATAAGGTACATATATTATAATTGATGATAATATCAAATGTTTTTAATTATGATTTTTTACACTATAAACCTTACTTAAGGTGTAATACCTATGAGGTAAATAATTTATATGAAGTTTAATAAATCATTACTTTGTAAGTTGTGAATGTTTTTATATTATCTCATAAGAGGGCAAACGAGCAATCATAGCGAAATATCAAGTGATCAATGTTCTTGGGAATCCTCAACACCTTCGTGTTAGAGACAGCCGGGAACATGCCTTCTGTAGTTTTAGTATACAGGTTTACATCTACAAATAATAAAAAATAGTCCCTTGAAAATAAACAAGCTACATTTTGCGATTCATAAAAAAATTGTATAATTTTACACGGCTAAAAATTTGCTTTAGGAAGCAAAATGCCATTTTATATATAATCTACGGAGTAATGAAAAGTCTTGACGAGGATGTCAAGTTGACATTTCAGTCTGCTGGAAAATGTCAATTCAACTGTCATTATGTGCGCTTCATAATTTTTAACGTTTATTTTCGTTTCAGTTTAGATATCTAGGACTTTAAGAACTTCACAATAAAACAATTTACCAAACAAATACATTATTTTAATACATATATTATAATTTAAAGTGTTACTTATGATTCTTCTACTTCGGGTATACCTCGTTATGTAAACACAAATGTTCGATGATGAATTAACAAACAGTAATAAAGAACTGTTTTGTAATATATTTAAAAAGGCAAAGTCAACTAAAAAAAGAAAAGATCTTGCAAAGTACAATTTTGTAAGGAATGTTTTTACCGAGACTAAGGTTTTGCAAGGAAACTATGATGTTAGTCGCAAATTTTTCTACCAAGCCTACGTCATCAGAGGTTCTTACTGCTTATTTGACACAGTGTAAAGAACCTCCATGGACTTCCTACTTCGTGAAGGTAATATTTTAAGTTTCCAGTGCTCTGGCATCTGTAATACGCAGTAATCTCTGTTTCTCTAAGCAGCAATGACGGGATAGTAAGACAGTCCAAATGTGGAAGTTGAAACTCATGGAAATATAGTTTTTATACATTATTAAAATGAATATAAGTCTGACTAAATAATTTAAACATTTTTTTAGTACAGTAGTGTAAAAGATGATCAATTTGGCAAGTCAAACTTTAATTGGCAAGTTGATAGATCCAACTATCAAATATTAAGAACAGGATGTTATCCATTCATAAAGTATCATTGTTCAAGAAAAGAAGCAGAAGATTTAGAGGCATCTGACAAATTTATGAGGATTATTAAAGTTGTTAATCTAGGTAAATACTTAATTTAATTTTATTGAATAATTTAATTGCTATATCTGCCTTATTTAGTAGTATTCAAGTGGATTTAAGATTTCTTAGTGTAGATTTAGCATGATATATCTTCCCTAACTGCTAAATTATAAAAAGATTAGTTACTCTGTGGCAGCGGATCAATGTTGTTAAAAATATATAAATGTTAAATCTTTTCAACTCCAATTCAAGAGGGTTAATGTTTTTATGTATTCATAAGTCTGTGAGTTTGTGTCTATGTGAGTTTTTTGTGATGGCCTAGTGCCTTTTTTGACTGATTTTTATAAGTAATTTGATATGTCTTCTTCTCTGGAGTGTCAACTTTACAATCAGGATGTTTTTTGTATCAAATTGAGTTATTAAATTACTTTTTTAGGTATACCATGTCTGTTGTATGGCTTGGCAGCTATAATTTTAATTCATCACTCCGAGATTGTCTACACTAGTAAGGGCCAGGTTACAATATATTTTTTGTTGGAAGAACACAAAGGATCATTACACTAATGTATGTGTGTGTGGAAATAATACAATTCTTAGTTTAGGTTAATTTATTTATGTGCAATAATTATAATAGATTTGTAAGTAATACATATTAAAAATTAAGTTGTTTTTTTTAACCATGCTTCAATATTTTATACAAAAAGCACAAATAAATTTGTTTTAAAAAAATCAAATTGAGAGTTTTTAATTTATCACTTTACTTGTACAGAGTACTAAAAATATCTGTCATCATGAATATCTTGGTATTATGTAAGTTGACATAAAACATTAAAGCAGTGATAAAGAGTGTCATCAAAAATTGTTTTGCTATTGAATGCAGTTAGTTCAAAGTTCATGTTTACTGCTAATCGAAGTTTTTCTTAGTCATACTGTCTCAACAAATTGTAATAAGAATATGACGAGCTCATTATCTGAAATTAAAAAGATTTAATTTTTAATGAGAGACTTAAATTACAATTATAAAACAAACATTTACGTTTGTAATTAGCTGCGTTTCTTCACATGGGGGCTTTCAACGACCGGAGGAACGGGCTTAGAGGTATGGCCTTACAATGTCGCGCAGGTATTCAAATTATGTTTTGGACAGCGTTTCTTTCCATATTATCGTATTTCGCCGTCGTAACCTGTGAATCACATTGTAATGACTTACCGATGAAAATGTTTCCAGCTCTAATTTAGGTAGACCCGTGAATTTTATAGTAACAGGCTGTTGTGCTCTCACGATTAATATAATGAAATCGGAACGTAACAACTGTCCCAACGGGGTTTCCTGCCAACCGCAGCGCCAGCAAGCTTCTCCGACCGCAAAAGCCTAGAATTTATGTGATGACAATATTTATATTAATACTCTTTTTTGTCAAAGATTATGACAAGGATGACGATATGTTTTATACAGATTTGTTTTCTCAGAAACTCACGGTAAGTCTGTAAGATAGACTTTTTGTCCTATTTTTTTTAATTAAAAGTAAGTTCTAATTTAACTTGTTTTTTTTTATTATGCTTGTTCGATTTTATTATTGCTCGTACATTAATATATTTGTAAAATTTTTATTATTCCTGTAGACCTATTGTTGGCTGTAATTCTATAAATTTAACCTAAAATATAAAACTAGTTCTTGGTCTTGTAGACGAAACACACGAAACAGGAAGCGTCAAAGTTGTGTATGTAAATTTAATCGTATAACTGTCCCAATCGAAATTTTATGGTAATACCCAATATTTTCGGAATTTAATAAGAATTTTTGAATGAGCACGAAAAAAAAATGGAAAAATTTCAAAATACATAACTTATAGTTTGAATAATTTATGTAAATTTTTACAAAGGTCAAATAATGTTCACACAGAACAGATATCTATTTGAAATATAATACGAAAAAGGAACAATAAGCAATCGGCTAATAATCCGTATTTCCTTTACGACAGATTTCAATAAGATTAGTATTGACGAGATAAATATATATATATATATTTTATTTTATTTATTTATTTATTTAAAAACTGCATAGCATCATTACAGTATACAACCAATTTGACACTATACACACTTTACATAACAGTTTCCACGATAACATATTTTATAATAACAGTAAATAACACATAACAATGATAAATAAAAAGAAAAATACATAGATAAACAGTGCAAGAATATATAAACAAGTAACTAAACATCAATATTCAAACGTCTTCCACACATCTGTACGCAGCCTCTGTGAATTTCGACTCGCTGCAACTAAATAAATCTATATCTCTAGATATGATATTGAGAAGCCGTATAGCCCGCACTATAGAAGCATTTTCCAATAACTTCGTCCTAGCGGTGGGCTCGAGAAACAATGGCGGGCGGCGGCGCACCTGAACCACGCAGTCAGGGACACGCAGCCGCAGCGCTGCAAGCACGGCTGGCTGGCACACCGCGCCGCGCAGGACGCGCCATACGCCGCGCACGAGGGCCACTTCCCTACGCACTCGCAACGTGCTGTATCCGACCATGCCATTCACAAATAAACTCGGGTACATTAACGGGAAGCAAGGATAAACTCCGTACTGTTTGTAATACAGGAACCGCGTAAACTTATTTTGAATTCTTTCTACCATCAGACTATATTTTTTTTCATGGGGACTCCATATGGAACTACTCGTTTCTAGATGACTCCTAACTAATGCGTTATATAAAACTTTTATTACCAGCGCATTTTCAAAATTCTTACATTGCCTAATAATAAAACCGAGATTTCTAAACGATTTCCTACAGATATTCGCAATGTGGTTTCGGAAGTTCAATTCCTCGACCATCTCGACTCCCAAATCACGGACGTGAGATACGCGCGGGACGAGGGTCGTATCCAGCACGTAGGGATGGTGCAGTGGCGCGCGCGCTCGACTATACGATATCACACAGCATTTGTTCGCGTTGAAGAACAACTTGTTGTCCTTACTCCACTGCAACACGCTGTTAATGTCCCGCTGCAATCGCAAGCAGTCGTCACCATTTTTTATAACTAAAAAAAGTTTTAAATCGTCCGCATACAATAAACACTGTGCGTGATTTACTATTGACGGAAGGTCATTAATCATTAAAATAAACTCTAACGGACCGAGATTACTGCCTTGACTTATTCCGGAATAAGTATAATATGGCGCAGAAAAGTAACCCTCGTACTCGACGTACTGTCTGCGCTCTTTTAGGTAATTAGCAAAAAAGTTTAGTAAACTGGGAGTGAACCCAAACGCAGCAAATTTAATTAATAATATATCGTTGTCTACGGTATCAAATGCGCGGCGAAAGTCAAAATACGCAGTGTCGACCTGTCTTCCGGCGTCCACGGCAGGCGCTAGTTCCGATACGAAGGACAACAAGTTACTCTCCGTGTTTCGACCCTTACGGAAGCCGTGCTGCGCGTCCGATAGCCGGGAATTCACCTGCGAACAAATGCTGCTGTGTATTACCGTCTCGAATACTTTAGCAACCGCCGATAGTATCGCTACAGGTCTATGATCGCATAGTTCCGTTCCTGATTCTTTTTTTGGAACCGGAATTACGCGGGTAATTTTCCATCTATCCGGATAGCGTTCTTCTTTTAAGTATAAATTAAAAATATGCCAAAGGGGCATCTCAAATGATAGGCGACAATCTTTAATTATGAAAGGCGGTACGCCGTCCGGGCCTACCGATTGTTTGGGCTTGAGGCGGACGAGCGCTGCGCGCACATCGCGCTCGCTCACCTGGCCTATATGAACGCGCGCCGAGTCCGCGCCGGACGGCGCCAGCGCCGCCGTCCGCTCAGCCGACCGTGGGTCTAAGTTCGGCGGCTTGGAGCTATATACCGAATGAAAGTACTCCGCAAAATATTTCGCACTATCTTCTTTTTTCACTTCCACCCCCCCTTTAGTAACTCGACTGTTGTTAGAATTAATCCGTTTATTTTTAACGAAGTTCCAAAACGATTTTGGATCATTTTTTAAATTTAGTTGCAGATTTTGCAGATATAATTTATACGCGCCTTCGATCATATTTTTTACTAAAGCCCGATAGTGAGAAAATACTCGATAGTCCGCTTGCGATTTAGTTCTTTTGTATATTTTATGTAACCTCCACTTTTTTTCAATATGTTTAATTAATTCGGCCGTGTACCATGTCGGATAATTACATTTTGAATTTGTTTTACCCCGATTACAAAGTTTTCTCGGTGTAGACGAGTCAATCATTTGGTTTACCACATTATAGAAATATGTCAACGCGGCGTCGGCATCGTTTATTTCATATAACGGACTCCAATCATACTTTTCAAATAGACTATATAATTGAAAAAAAATTACATCTTTTAAAATTCCATCTAATATTTCCAACTGAACCGTTATCATTCGAATTGCATTCGGCGTCTCCAAGCCCAGAGTTAGAGCGGTGGGTGCGCTCCCCCCTCTGCCGCAATTCCAGCAGCAGAGGGGGGTGCTGCACGTCAACGTCCACCACGGGGTCGTCACACAAAAATACTCTCAAATCACATTCGGCAAGGGTCGTCAATACCAAATCCAAAGTTCTATCGTTAATGTTAATGAAATTATTTACCTGCCGGAATCCACAATAGGCTGCAACATACTCACAATGATGCTGTATCTCTTGTGTGGAAGACGGCATGTTAAAATCTCCAATCACTAACACTTTATCGTATTCCGAACATTTAGATTCAAGTATATGAAACAAATGACTATATTCTTGCACACTCGATTTGGGGGGAATATACACAACACAACACAAAAACAAAAATTTTTGACGAAGTGATACGGTAGCACAAACTATTTCAAATAAGGCCGTATCCACACTATCGACTTGAACACGTTTTAGTTCCAACCGCGACGATGCAGCAATCAGTGTTCCGCCTTGTTTCCGTCCATCGGCTCGATCACATCTTAACACTGTGTAACCTGCGGGAAAAATTTCTCCATCCGCTATGGAGTTATTTAGACCCGTCTCTGTTATAGTAAACAAGTCGCACGAATTGTTCAAAATATTCGTGTAAAATGCTGACGTCTTCGTTCGGAGTCCTCTCACGTTTTGATAGTATATTAATATCGAATTATTTTTGGTTACTCTCCTTTCCCGTAGATCTTTGTTGGTTTCGAAACCACACCCATTCATTGAACTTGGCATTAACTGGCCAGCAATCACAACAATTGATTTTTCCGTACAATGATTCCGGAACTCCAACCTTGAAAGACGCATAATCTCTTTTAGTTCTTGGTATTATCTTCTCAACTTTAATATCTTTGGAGCCACATACAGTTTCAACATGTTCGGTTATGGCCTCACTCGTTGTGTCTGGATGAAGAGACCAGATATGTAAAAATTTCTTTTTTTCGACCGCCAGAATAGAAGACATCACGCTATTACCACCCCGTTGAACAATTTTGGTTTGCAAATTATTTGATGATGTCTTCTTAGAAACTGTCTGCCATTCCGAAACTATTGGGGATTGATTATTATTTAAGTCATCCGTAGATTTATCCTTGGGAGCATCCGCAGTATTTAATCGC